GATTTAAATTTTAAAGATGCAAATAAACTCTACATCCGCGTCCTAAAGTGATTTTGGCTAAGTCGATAGCGAAGAGAATACCATGAAAAACTTTGTGGTGGAAACAACCGCGTCCTGGGTAAGTCGATAACATAACATCCGCGTCCTGTTTAAAACTATAATTTAGTTTATTTTCCGTATCCTGGTTGTATATATAGACGATGAACTTGTTTTCATGTGCGTCCTTCACCTAACGCATGGTAATCTTATCGCGTTGTACGCGTCAATACATCCGTGTCCTGGGTAAGTCTATAGTTGATGTAGTATAGTGTTTTAATGTTATTGACATTTGGCAGATTTCGTCGTCTGTTTTGTTCTGTTGGTGATATGAGATTGAATTGAGCTGTTATCGAATAGATGATAACTTATGTTTGTCTGAACTGGGAATAAAGCAAATCAAATATAGATCGCAGTACGACAGAATGATAAAACAAATAACAAATAGGAAACGTTTATAAGTCTAAAATGCTTCGCTTTTATTAAACTTTCACCAGACAATTAGATATGTGAAAACATCAAGTATCTTTCTTTTTTTTTTTTTTTTGATTTACATTGGTTAAGCAGGCTTCATGTGCATCTGACTTGTCAAGCAGCGTTCGTGTGTATGATTTTTTTTTTAAGTGTATCATAATTCTATTTTGTCTATGCGGGATTTATATTTACATATATTAATATATAGATATGTATTCACTGGGATCAAATATAGATCAGAATCCGACAGAATGTTAGAATAAATAACAAATAGGAAACGTTTATAAATCTAACAATTTCGCTTTTATTAAAGCTTCACCAGAGAATGAAATATGGAAGAAAATTCTGCTATTTTTATTTTTGTGTTCTTGATTTTTATTGGTTAAGCAGACTACACGTGCATTTGACTTGTCAAGCAGCGTTCGTGTTTATAATTTATGTGTAAGTGTATTCTAATTCTAGTTTGTCTATGCGGGATTCCGATCATAATGTATATATATCTGTGTGTTTGTGCATGTATGGGCGTGTGTTTGTGTGTGTGAGTCTTGTACGCATTATCTATGTTTGGATGTTTATATGTGCGTTTGAATTGGGATCAAATATAGATAGGAATTCGTCAGAATGGTAAAATAAAGAACAAATATCGAAAGGTTTCTAAATCTAACTTATTTCATTTTGATTACAACTTCGTCAGAGAATGAAATATTGAGAAAAAAAAAGTCCTGTTATTTTTTTTTCATTTTGTCTTGTTTGATTTTCATTTGTTAAGCAGGCTTCATGCGCATTTGACTTGTTAAGTAGCGTTAGTATAAGTTATGGCGTTCTGAACTCAATTAAAGATGACCAGTTCTAGGAAATTTGCAAAAACATAACGGATTCATGGCCTAACTGAAAAAAAAAAACAAAAACGACGTTATGTTTATACATGGAAGTGTATGATAATTCCAGTTTCTTTGTGTGGGATTCGGATGATAATGTATATTGTAAAGTGTATGTCAGGATGTGTGCGTGTGTGTGTGGCTAGTAGCTATTATTTATGTTTGGTGGTTGTCCGCATGTTGATTTGGGAATGTTTTTTCAGTGTGTGTGTGTGTTTGTGTGTGTTTGTGTTTGGCTAGTAGCAATTATTTATGTTTGGTGGTTGTCCGCATAATGTCTTGGACATGTTTTATCTGTGTGTGTGTGTGTGTGTGTGTGCGTGTGCGTGTGTGCGTGGCTACTAGCTATTGTATATGTTTGGTTGTTGTCCGCATAATGTTTTGGGCATGTTTTATCTGTGTGTGTGTGTGTGTGTGTGTGTGTGTGTGTGTGTGTGTGTGCCTAGTAGATATTATTTATGTTTGGTGGTTGTCCGCATGATTTTTTGGGGGCATGTTTTATCAGTGTGGGTGTGGGTGTGTGAGTGCGTGTGAGCGCGCGTGCGTGCAATTTATTAAAACGACTGACACTGTATTTACTTCCGTTAAAACTTTCTTTGTAATTCAATCACAGGGAGGTGCGTTACAGTATCTGACTGCGGTTCGAATTGAGGAATCGTGGGTCCGAGTTCAATTCCCAGAGGAGTTCATCACATTTACTTAAGTGTTTTTCATTAGGAAAAGCATGAATCCAACAATTCTGGCCTGAAGGGGCACGGTAGACTAATGGATTATGGCTTGAGTTAGGAATCGGAGGACCGCGTTCGAATTCCAGTCGAGTTCATTTCATTCAGTTACGTGCTAATAACCTAATATGAGGAAATAGTAAGAAAAACATGTTTATAGAGCCTTGGGTGGCAACTGGTCTAGGATAGGGTAAACACTGAATTCCAAACTGTCTGTAGCCCTCTCGAAGTGCTTACTATATAAGGAAAGGATCGTTGCATTTATCCGAAATACGGTCGGCTCCATTATTTTTTTTCATTTTTTTTTTTGTATCTTGCGTTGGTAAATGATCATTTCTTTTTTAATTTAGAAATTGTCCAAATAATTTTCGCTATCTATCTATCTATCCATATATATATATATATATATATATATATATATATATATATATATATATATTAAAGAAAAAACAGACCACTTTCAGGTTACATTGTAATAATTTATTTCACCAGAGCCCTTTTAAAGGAAGCCGGATCATCAGATAGCTCTTGCAAAAAATGAAACGAAAAATGAAATGAAAATTGATGGGTAGTATAAGTTTTGTAATTTAACAGAGAGTGTAATGAGGAGTGGTTAGAGAGACATGGCCAAGTTTAGGGAGGGTTTAATTTCATATCTCTCTCAATCATAATAAGTATTAGGGGAGGAGGAGTGACCAGACCTTGACCTATTTAAACGGTTAACTTAACGCAAGTGATATATTGAAATGGGAGGGGAGAAGAGAGAAAAAGAAAAAGAAAATAGAGGGAAGTAAAGAGAAAGAGGCTGTAAATGGGTTTTACATAGGAAGGAGAGGGAAGGTAAGTTCTAGCAATTTATGTAAAATATAGATTTTAATGTTTGATAGTAATTTAGATGTTTAAAAAAACACGAAGAAATTAATTTGATGCTTGCTAGCAATTTAAATATTTAACTTTTTTACAAAAAATTTAGGGATTTAATATAAGTTAAATACTGTATTTATTAACACATTTATAGAGAACATATTAAAAAATATTTTAAAATATAACAGTTTGTTTACCCGACCAATAGTCCCCTTTTAATATTGTAAAAGACAGTTAATATAACGTCTTTATCAGTTTAAATATATATATATATAAACTGCGTGCCAAATTATTATCGAGATAACTTTTTTTTATAATATTTCAAAAACCGTCTAATCAATTCACACAAAATTTTCACACAATGTTGGCAACACGGACCTGCGCAATCACTGAAATTTTTGACCTGACCTGCGCAACGTAAACAAACTGGCGCCATATTTGTTATCAGTATGGTGATTTGAGCGTGCCAAATTATTATAAAGGTTTAGGAATAATCCCAGAATTGAGCACACAAAACGTTTATTAATGTTGCACGTGAATGTTTATGATCAAAAGAAGCTAATAAATGAGATAATCAAACAAATAATAACAAATACAAACAAAGGCACTCTTTTAAACAAATTAATAGGGAATGTGCTTTCCCTGTTTTGAAATTACTTGAAGAAGACGACGATCCATAGAATTTGTTAATTGTAGGATGTCATCTGCTGTAATGCCACGAGATATGTCAAGAATTGCTTCCCATAACTCAGCGTTGCTCCTGAATTGTCGTCCGTTGGCGTACAGTCTTCATTTCATGATGCTCTAAAGGCTCTCGATTGGGTTCAAATCAGGAGAATTTGCTGGCCACTTAATTTTTTGATCTCCATCGAAGCCTAACTGTTTCAAATATTCAGTAGTCTTGTGAGCAGCATGTGAGGGAGCATTATCTTGCATAAAAACAATGGCCCTTCTGAAGGCAACTCTTTGCCTTTTCATCCACGGTTCAAGATGCTCCTTCATAAACTCTATGTATGCATCAGCAGTCATTTTGACGCCATCTGGTACTCTCCATGGGCCCACTAATGTTTTTCCAATAATACCCACCAGATCATTATGCTTCCACCGCCTTGTTGTCATCTCAAACGCTGATGGTGATTCTGTCCGTTCATTACCCAGACTTTGCACCATCTATCTGGCCCATCAAGTGTTGCTCGAGTTTCGTCTGTGAACAAAACTTTAAAGATGTCAATCTTCATATTGTCCTCGGCCCATTTCAATCAATTTTGAATGTGATTTCTCGTCAACGGAGGCTTCGATACAGGTTTGTTGTTGCTATTTCCCTCGGATACTGACACCGAGTACTTTTAGACACAATAGGATCCCCAATGCGACTGAAAAGCTCTTGACTGGTAAGTCCAGGGTCCTTCGTGGCCTCTCGTTTAAATCATGACATGAGACGACGTGAAATAACCCTCGGCTTGCCTTTATATGCCCTTTTGCTTACTTGTGTAGGGTCGGCGGTGAACTTTTTCACTGTTTGATGACACCTCCCTATCATTTTAGAAATTTCTAGAGTAGATTTACTTTTTGAGATTTCTGAGGTAATAGTTTTCTTTTCAGCATCACTTAAACTGCTTTTACGGCCCATCTTTTCACTAAATTCTTATACTTTTCTAATAATTTGGCACGCTCAAATCACCGTGCTGATAACAAATATGGCGCCAGTCTGTTTACATTGCGCAGGTCAGGTCGAAAATTTCAGTGATTGCGCAGCTCAGTGTTGCCAAAATTGTGTGAATTGATTGGACAGTTCTTGAAATATTATAAAAAAAATTATGTAGTATATATATATATATATATATATATATATATACCAGTCTGTTCTTATCTATCTATTTAGCAGATTCTGTGCATATTTATCTGTCAACATAAATGCAAATATGCATCGAAGGTGATAATAAAAAATATAGTGAAAAAAAATGTACATATGACAATACAGACAGATGCGAATAATGCGATGTCATATATAAGTATAGATACGATGCGTGAAGATACACATTTATCTCATTCTGTGCGTATCTATCTATCTATCTATCTATCTATCTATCTATCTATCTCAATCTGTTCCTATCTATCTATCTAACTATATATATATATATATATATATATATATATATATATATATATATATATATATATATATATATATATAATTCTGTTTTATCTATCTATATATCTATTTCAGTCTGTTCCTTTCTATCTCTGTACCTATCTATCTATCAGTCTGTTGGGATGTCTGCCAATGGTTTGTTAATATCTATCTATCTATCTATCTATCTATCTATCTATCTATCTATCTATCTATCATAGTCTCTTTGTATCTATCTATCTATCTATCTATCTATCTATCTATCTATCTATCTATCACAGTCTGTTCCATATCTATATGTCTATTACAGTTTGTGCGTATCTATCTATCTATCTATCTATCTATCTATCTATCTATCTATTTATCACAGTCCGTTCGATATCTATCTATCTATTACAGTTTGCGCGTATCTATCTATCTATCTATCTATCTATCTATCTATCTATCTATCTATGCACTTTTGTTTTTATTTTTCTTTATTATTTGTATTTAGTCATCTCCCTCAGTCTATACATATCTATCTATTTTATCTACCTAAGTCTACTTTAGCCTTTTAATTCTCCCTCTCTATCTATGTCTGTTACTTCAGATCTATCTATCTATCTATCTATCTATCTATCTATCTATCTATCTATCTGAATGTTTTTATAATATATCTCTTAATCTATCTATCTATCTATCTATCTATCTATCTATCTATCTATCTATCTATCTATGTATCTGAATGTTTTTATAATATATCTCTTAATCTATCTATCTATCTATCTATCTATCTATCTATCTATCTATCTATACTTCTATTTGAATCTCTAATTCCCCTCTCTCTCACACTCTTTCACTCATCTATCTATTTACCTATGTCATTTTTTTTTATTTTTCTTTATTATTTGTATTTAGTCTTCTTTCTCAGTCTATACATATCTATCTATCTATCTATCTGACTCTCTCTTATTTCCATTGTCTTTTTCACTCTCTCTCTCATCTATCACATTCTGTGCATATCTATCTAGCTGACTATCTCTGATTCCCCCCCTCTCTCTCTCTCTCTCACACACACACACACACACACATTCACTCACTCTGAGGAGTACGTGAGAACAAATTCCAACAACGCCCGGCTTTGGTACTGTGTTTTCCACAGCAGTTAAGTGATGAAGTTAATTTTGTGAAGGTAACATCTTTATCAGTTTGAATATATATATATATATATATATATATATATATATATATTCTCACTCAGTCCCACTCTGAGGAGTACGTGAGAACAGCTCCCAACAACGTTCGGCTTTTTTACTGTGTTTTCCACAGCAAATAAATGTATAAGTGATGAAGTTTATTTTGTGCGTGTTTGTATGTGCGAGCCCTCGCGCGTGTATAGAAATTTACTTCTCTTAGGCTGGATTCCAATCAAAGCTAAATAGTCCAGTCTGCCCTACTATTTCACCCAGAGCCGGTTGGGGATATGCATTCATACCTTGCTCAAGGATATTCACTTGCAAAATTGAGTGTAACGAACTCGACTGGAATTCGAACTCGGATCTCCAATTTCTCATTCCGAGCCGCTACCAATTAAACCGCTCACAGTTCCCAGATCACCATTAGCTTCTTTTTTTTTTTTAAATGATCGATTTAATCTCGTCCACGATCGCTCCAAAACATGATAACCTCGAGTCGGTTGTATGTCAAATAAGATGAAGCGTATGAATGCTACGGTCCAAACCGGGCACAAGTCTCTTAATGGGCGCCTTAATACAGACTGACTAAACTAATCTGCGGGTCACTTTACACATTAGACGCATTAAGGTCCTCTCTTATTTGGCAATCGTGAAGAGTACGGAGGCTATTTACTTGCTGTTTAACATTGAAGCGACATTTTCTGGCAAGTGTTTGTAGTTCTTAAGCAAAATAGTTTCGTCGTTGCTTTTAATGTCAGATTCCGAGGCTCGCCTTTGACATTTTCAAGGCCGAAAACATAAGACACTTAACGTTTACTTCGCCATTGAACTGTTTTTAGCGGACTCGTTTTGAAAATCATCATTGCGGCAAAGAAGCACATCAGGTGTTCAACGGACAGACCTGGCCATTTTACCCCCCACCAGAAAACAGTTACAGCCCGAAACCGTTACATTTTCTGCTTGTTGATGTTCTAGGCACATGGTTAATACATTCGCATTCTGACCATGAGACCCGGGTTCGTATCTTACCATGGTCGATATGTCACGAAGGATACTTCCTGATGTTATCGAACTGGAGGGGTTCGATCCCAATATGCGTCACCTTTAGAAAGGGTCTGAAAACCACGAGTTGATTCAAGGGAAAATTGGGTAGACAGAGCCCTTGGGAGCCGTCGATAGCTCTGCTAGCAGGAAGTCACAATCAGCATGGGCGAGGATTCGAGTGTGCTAGCCTTATTCAAATTGTTGATCATTTCTAGATAACATGCCCTTTCCCTGATACTGTAACTAAGGTCTGCTGAGCATAGTTACAGTATAAACCAAGGGTGGGCTCTGTGGCTGTTGGACAAACGCAAAAATGCACCTGAGCAAGGGTTTCAAAGACGGGTATGCTCGAATATGAGTGGCAAGCTATAAATTATATTCTGTCTAAAATACAGACATACATACATATAACAAATTTTATATAGAAACAAATCTCAGCGGATATTTTGATGGCTTTGTTATTTATTATATAAATTTAATCTTTGCAGTTCTGATTAAAGGTGTAATTTAAGCATGCATTTTAAGTAGAAATTGTACAACCAAATGCTTTTTTCTGATTTCAATTCACTTGTTCTACATTAAAAAATTGAAAATAAAATGACATTATTGAAATAAACCTTCTTCAACGGCAACTCATCTGTGGAAGAAATTTTAATATTTTCTTGCTATGAGTTTGAAGAATCTGTCTATATTTCTGAGATGAGGTATTATGTACACTATTTACATTATTTGGACTATTGTCCTCATCTTTGTCGCCATATTTATCACAACGTTTCGGCCTTTCAGTATCTGTCTATATTTCTGAGATGAGGTATTATGTACATTATTTACATTATTCGGACTATTGTCCCCATTTTTGTGGCCATATTTATCACAACGTTTCAGCCGTTGTACGCTCCGGCATTCTTCAGGTGGTTGGAATGTCGAACTGAACCATTTATTTCGCTCACTGGTGTAGACTGTTCTAGTTCCACGTGCCATGTTTGATGGATGTCAGTTATCAGTTATCTCCTGTTAATTTCCTTCAAGGATACATGGCACAGTGGATAAAGGCGTTGGTTAGATCCAGTGACAGGACCCAAAGAGTGTGAGTTCAATACCCGGTTAAGGCAGTGGAGAACTTTCAGAGGGAAATTAACAGGAGATAACTGACATCCATCACGTGGAACTAGAACAGTCTACACCAGTGAGCGAAATAAAGGGTTCAGTTCGACATTCCAACCACTTCAAGGCGGCCGGAGCGTACAATGACCAAAACGTTGTGAAAAATCAGGCGACAAAGATGAGGACAATTGTCCGAATAATGTAAATAATGAGTTTGAAGAAGGATCATTTTTTTTTTTAAATATCTACAAATCTTAAAATATGAGGTGAAAAAAAAATTAACTATTTTTATCTAATTTTACAAACATATTAAAACTTTTATATATATATATATATATATATATATATATATATATATATATAAAATATATACAAAATATTAAGTATTTTCGAAATTTCAGTGTTTAATAGGGAGATTCTTTCATAGACTCCTGAATGGATACACCCATGAGCACTAGGATATTAGCATCTTTAAGTCTAGAGTCTAATGTTATGCATTCCCTACATTCTCATAAGCTATCTCTCCATCAGTGTCCTTGTATCGGGCCAACAACTGTACAGGCTCTCTCACCTTTAAGTATATTGACATGAATTTAGTAAAAGACGCATAAGTCATGATAGGAGAGCTTTCTTTAAGGCAGGATTGCCATAATTAACCTTGAGACTCGCCTTGACGCATCTACGTACTGAATCCACCGTTTGCATCGATGACTGCTTCAGTACCCTATCTGCAACTCTGACATAACTGATTCAGACTATCTTTATCATTTTTTGAATCATTTCAACCCAAGCAAGGCAAAGAAGCCACTAAAACGTAAGGGGTTAGAGAAGATGAAAAAAATATTAAAGAGATATGGCAATAAAAGAATAAGAATTAAGAAGACAGAATATGACGATAGACATTATATTTCATTTTTTGATCAAATTTGACTGAGAAGAAAGAGAGTTCCACACGTGAGAAGTGCGATAGAAGAAATAGTCCCATAGAACGAGGGTGTCATGTGGCACAAGGCCTTTTTATAAGACTATTTACCATGAAAGTATTTATAGAAAAGGTAGAGAGCAGTTACGTGATGGAGGTGAAAAAGTGACTGAAGCCGAGATGTCAGGTCAGCACCAATAAAATTGCAGATTTTTCTTTGGATATTATCAGGAACCTCTAAATGAAGAGGGTGCCCTGAATAAATTGTCACCATTTTATATTTTTGATTTCGCACATGCGCTTTTTCTTCTTTTTTTTTTGTTGTTGTTATTCTGTCGTCTGCATAGTATAGTAGTTTCAGTTGCGTAAAAGAGCAACGTGATGGAATTTTACTCCGCCAGAAATTTAGAAATGACATGCAGCACTGCTTGGTATTCACGCCAGAAGCTTTAATACTAACATTTCAAATGTTTTTTGGGTGGAATTATGTGGACATTACTGAGGATATGGAAATAGTTGGAGGATTCTAAAGTTGATTACGAATGTTTTTGGAGTGATCATTAGGAGGAATCATAACGCTATGTCTGCATTCATCAACCCACGGAATCGCAGACTCAACACGAAGGCCTACATCATGTCGAAATATTGTTATGGATGATGACCCGTATTTACCTTCATCTTGTTTATTAGATGAAACAATTATAAATGATTATTATTAAAAACTGATTCGTATTGGTTCTGACGTTTTAATTGTATCGATATTCATATGAATAGAAGATGATTTCATTTCAAAACTGAGGAGGCATTCAGAATATATATATATATATATATATATATATATATATATATATATATATACATATATATATATATATATTCTAATCTATCTATCTGTCTATCTCTTCATATTTATATCTCAATTTCCTCAAATGTATGTCTGTATGTATCAATCTCACTCTCTGTAAATCTGTCGAACGATCTCAGTCAATTCATATCTATCTATCTATCTGTATATATATATATATATATATATATATATATATATAAATTTTCGCTTGAGGATGAAACAGGGCTTGATACTTTAATTCAATCTAATTTTAATAATTATATTGAGGTTTTCGGCTTTCGTTTTTGAAACACGGGAACTCTTATGTAGCGAAGGAATTATATTTTTTCAAATAAGTATAATATATATATATATATATAGATAGATAGATACTTAAAATCATGCAATCTTGTGAACGATACATACATATATACATACATATAGGCCTATATCTGAGCTAACTGTGATATATAGATAGATAGATAAATAGTTAAAATCAAGCAATCTTGTGAAAGATACATACATATATACATACATATAGGCATATGTTTGAGGTAACTGTGATATATATATATAGATAGATAGATAGTTAAAATCATGCAATCTCGTGAAAGATAAATACATATATACATACATACATATAGGCATATATCTGAGGTAACTGATAGATAGATAGATAGATAGATAGATAGATAGATATAGATAGATAGATAGATGGTTAAAATCATGCAATCTTCTGAAAGATACATATTAGATTGGTGCAAAAATAATGTTGTTTTTTGACGTTCAACTTCAAAAGATCATAACTCCTTTCATAATAAACTTTATTAATCGAAATAAGAACCATTAGAATCGACACATTTTTGCCAACGAGAAACAAGTTTATTTATCTCATTAGCATAGAAATCCGGAGTTCTGGAAGCGATGAAGTCATTGAAGGCCGATTCGGCATC